GTGGGTGTTTCCTGGTGTTGGGTTGCAGCTAGAAAGGCATTCGCTGCGTAAAACATATGCTGGATAAGTTGGCGGTTTATTCCGCTGTGGCTGATTAATAAAGGGACTAAGCCGAAAAGAAAATGAATGAATGAATAAAGTATTGTTTCAAAGTTGGGGATCAATATATAAGTACCATACTTTTTAAAAAGAAGCCTTTTATGCTTATTCAGGCCATAATTCGTTTAATAAAAGAGTATATATTTTCACACATAAGAAATATTGTAATTTTTAATTTTTATTTAATATTTTTTATATATAAATATATTATATTATTGTAACTACTTAAATTTTATTTATCTAAAATATAATTCTGAACATTTAGAATCAAGTTGAATATACTGATTTGATGGTCAAGAAACATTTCTTATAATGCTGAAAGCAGCTGCGTAATAAAATTGTGGGTGCATTTATTTTAGGGTTGTATGACGAAATATTGAGGAAAAAATTTCTTTTAAAATCACTTGATTCTGTTTTGTGAATCAGTCAATTTAATTAACTCTTGCACATTAAATATTAGAATTTCTTTCATTAATTTCTTTTGAGATACATGTAGTCATGTATTTGAGCATTATCAGTTTTTATAATAATTTCTTTACACTACTTTTTGTCTCTCTTTCTCTCTAGATATAATCTGGTGATGCTGGGCCTGTCCGCCTCTTTTCTGCTGCTGTCTTATTGGCTAACCTGGATGTTTGGGGGCGTTGGCTTCATTTTGGCAAACTGCTGCAACATGGCCTTACGAATCACACACAGTATTGTTTACATCCGTCAGTACTTCCTGCAAAGTGAACACAGGCCACTGTGGGGGCTTCGCCCACATTCTGCTGTCCTTGTAGCGCTTGGAGTGAGTGCTGTCATCACAGCTTTCTCTGAGGTATGGTACACTGTGACTTGTTTAAAGTATGTGTACATGACAACAATGTTTAAAAAATGTAGTATACACTGCCATTCAAATGTTTAGAGATTAGAATTTATAAATGTTTTTAACTGAAGCCTCTTCTGCTCACTGACGCTGCATTAATTTGGTACAAAAATATAATAAAATCTTAATTTCAGCATAAATTTATCGTGTTCTATATGAATTTGTGTTAAAATGTTATTTATTTCTATGATTTAAAGCTCCAGGCTTCAGTGTCACAAGACCCTGCAGAAATCCTACTGATTTTCTGCCCAAGAAATATTTCTCATTATTATTACTGGTGTTGAAAACAGCTGCGGTGCATAATAACACCGTTATATATCACTATTCAAAAGTAGCATAATAAAAAATGCTTTCATTCATGAAGGAGGCATTAAACTGACAGTAAGGAAATGTTATAATGTATATAATGTAAAATATGTACAATTCAGTAAAATATGTAAAATGTATTATGGTTTGCACAAAAAATAAAGTACCATTATTAATAACGGCTTAAGTAATGACTGATTATAACAGAGAGTGAAATCAGCATATGATTTCTAATGCTTCATTTTTCTTGTAACACTGAAGACTGGAGTAATGATGAGCAAAAAAATCTGTGTTGATTAAATTTATTCAAATAAATGCAACCTTGCTGATCAAGAGGTGGCTTCTTTCAAAATCAATAACATGATTTAATAGTTATTAAAACTATTAAGATTAGAAATGTGTTTTTTTCTGTTAAACAGAAATAGGAGGAAAAATAAACAGGAGTGCTAATAATTATTACTTTAACTGTGTGTTTGATATTAATCCCTATTCACATGGATTCTTAAAAAGACTAAGGGTCCTATCATACACCCGGAGCAATAAGGCGCAAGATGTGTTTCTATGACATGTTGCTATTTTCAGACCATAATTTTCCCATTTTCCGCCACATTGTTTAAATAGCAAATCAATTTGCGCCACTTTGCAGGCTCATGTGTGTTCCAGTCTATATAAGAGGCGCGTTAAGGCATGTTGTTGTCGCATTGCTATTTAGAGGAACTAAAATAGACTGTGTAATAGACCAGCTGAAAGCAGGTCTAGAGTCCAGTGCAGAGCACGTTAGTTGTGCGCCTCCCTTACCAATTGCTGAGTACACACAGGATGTACAGCAATACACAAATATCTTTACAAATGAAAAAGAATTAAAGGATTAAAATACAACTATATATATATTATTCTCTACATAAATATAAAAACCACTGATTTCATGCCTTCTTCATCTCGTGGGGCTTTTTTCAGTGTATTCATGACAATTAGCTTTTGTATAATGTTATAATTAGTAGTAGTAGTATTTCTTATATACAGATTTATATTGTTTTATTGAAAACAAGCTTAGATTTGTCCACCTGTCAGGTTTTAGACCATATGGGGCAAAGCATGTGTATTTGGATATAACTCAGTTTTTTGACCACACTTTGTTAATATTGTTTATTTATTTGTTTGCTGGAAATTAGAACTGAATTTAGAAATGGTTTTAAAACAAATCTTTGCGCTTAACAAATGAAATGAATTATGTAGGCTAATGGATGTGCGTTTCCCTATCCGCGAAAGAGAGTGAAAGTGAAAGTAAACAATGAGGAGGCTCATCTCTTATTCTCGTGCTATAGATGCTCTGTTTAACTGTTTTCTCTCTAGTGAAGTGTTCAGTTTTTCCACTTACAAAGTTCGTCATGTAAATAGCAAATGCGTTATGGCGTGACGCAACTGACTCTTAAAGGGAATGGGAGATGAGACTCTGATTAGTTTATACTCAAAACACACCTATAACTCAATAAGAGAATAAGCTCAACCCTGTTAGACCAGGCGCCGCGGTGCAGAGCGGATTGTTCCATCTTTAAAATAGCAAAAGTGGATTGGGACACGCCCTTAATGCTTTTGCGCCCTGCGCTTTGGACTTTGTGCCTAGATTGTTAAAATAGAGCCCTAAATGTTGTAAAATGCATTCCAGGCCTTTAGCTAGCGATGTTGTTACATTGTAAAGACAACTGTGCGATCAGTGCACAATTGTGTCCTGAAGTCCAGCTTTGGTACAGTGCTCAGCATATATGAGTACACCCCCACAAATCCCTCATTTAAGTGAATATTTTCTATAGGATGCTTTACAATATTATATTTGTGCATATACTGTACATTAGTTTAGTCTGCACTGAAGCCAAATCTGGAGCTAATCTGACAAAATAACTTATGATAATGGTTCAAAAATTAGAAGCCCAAATGTATAAGTTAGGGAAAAATATTAAATAACATTTTCAAAAATAGCAAAAATCAAGAGAAACTAAAAAAAATATACAATTTTGTTGAAAATCTTGCAGTTTGTATTTTTTTTTTGCAATATTTTGCATGAATTTTAATGTATTATCTTTCCATTTCTAAATGTATTCGGTGACTAAGTTATTATTTTAATAAATATTTCTGTTTAATAAATTAAATGCACCAAAATACATAGCCTATATTCACTGAGAAATGGATAAAAACATTCATTTAAATGTACTTAATCATGCTGAGCACTATTATCATAAATAATAGCACTTCAAAACCAGTTTACAAAAGTTTGTACGTTCAAGCTCCCTGAAACTCTGTTGTTGTGCAGATGAACAACCAAATGCTTATATAATATCTAAAAGCTCATTCTGATTTGTAGCATTTGTGTGTTTCAGAGCGTGTTTTGCTGTGATGGCGGCTGGCTGCTGAGACTTTTCCATGTAGCTGTTGGGGCCGTTTGTCTCTTGACTGTGGTGATCACAGTATTTCTAACAGAAACAAGGCTTGTGCAGTTTGTCAAGACTCAGTTGTTACCCAAATACAACAAGAAACTTACATGAGCTTTTATTTTGAAAGCTGCTGACAGTGAAACCTCTCTGAACTGAGGTGGACACTAATGTGAGGGATGCACCAAATGTTGCAGATTAGAAAATCTTACACTTTATTATTTTTTGTTTGTTTTTTAATGAGGTTTACTCTAAAAGATACAGTTTCTCCACCTGCAGTTTTTGCTTATGACATCTAAAGAAGATGCTGACAGTTTGAAGATGGTAAGACGCAGGATAGAACTTGGTTGTAAGTTATGCAAAGATATCGCAGGGTCCATCAGATTGTACTAACTGTTCTATTGTGCCTGTCATTCCTCCATTGATGCAAGGATTGCATTAAGATTCTCTTTAAATAAAACATTGATGCTTTATTTGAGAGACCAAAGGTGTACATTGACCAAATATTTTATAACATTGTGCTACGATGTTACTAGATGTGCTGTGCAAATCAGCGGGGACTTTGTTTAAATGGTATGTATGAATGAAATGGTCAAAACAAATGCAAACGGTACTGGTTGCCATTGTTTTAGAAAATATTTTAGATGATACCAGATACTTTATTTACTATTCAACATTTTTTGGGTACAAATAAAAGTTTTTCTTTTCTGATAGTTCTGATTTCTGACTTTAATTTGCTTGCAGTATACTCGGGGATCAGTATGTTGTGTTTTTTTTAATCAAAGTGACTAACATTTTTCATAGTGTCTTAATTTATATGGGTATGTTTTAGGTAAAATGTCATTTTTGTTTTGTTTTCTAAGTTAATGATCACATTTATTAAAACTAATTTATAAAAATAAAACAACCAAAATGTAAAATGTTTTCAGACATTTAAAATCACTTTTGGATCAAACAAAACAAAGCTTCAAAATAGCATTAGAGCAGTGGTGATTTTGTGTGTTAAAAAGACAAATTATTACATTTTTCTCAGAGAATAATTAAACAAGACTACCATAGAATGAATTGTATTAATTAATTGTATTTATGTTACACTTCAATTGTTTTGATGCTTCCTTACCCATACTGACCCATATACGAGGACAATTGGTTAAACCCTGACACTGAAAGAAAAAAGGCTGGATATTAAGTCATCCTTCAAATAAAGTATGTCATTCCAAAGCCATAGGTAAGAGACAAATTACAGTCCACAAACAAGCCCTTAGCAACCATCCAAACAACGTACACAACAGTCAGTGTACAAACAAACACCAGCAGCACAAACCAAAAACAGTTTTCATTACTGAGCTGCTGGAACTAATTGAAGATGTCATCTTCAAACAACAATGTGTCTATCCTACAGCAACAACAGTGACTGAGATTAAATGGGAGGAGGAACCGTGTGACTCACACTTTGGCCAAAGGAATTATGGCCCATTTGGGATTGGACTCTGGGAAGGGACGAGTTTGCGTGAGGATATAAAGCATATAAACGCACACGGGACGAGTATAAAACAGAAACTTCAGCAAGACTGCAGGACCATGTCTCAAGTAAGAGAAAGTAGAGAGACCGACATGAGCTAAAACTCATTTTTATTGTCATTTATTGATTTTGTTTTGATTTCTCTTCAGCTGGGCGAACAAGAGGAAGTGAAGAGGCCTGAGGTGAAAACGGAGGATTTGATTGGAGCCAGAGATAAACTTGCATCTGGAACTGAGGTGAAGAGCAAGACTTTTGAGGTGATGCAGGAATGTGGTGAGTCCAACAGCAGAAACTGCTGTAATTCAGTGTTTTATGTGATGTTTTAAGTGTCCTAAAGTCCTTGTTTTTTGACTTGGTGCCAAGAGGAAAAGAATAATTGTGCGTGTGTGTGTGTTTGGTTTAGTGTTTCCACTCCATATATAGCAGGACAAACGAGAACAGTTTATCACGTCGTTTATCACCTCTTATGTGCTTACATTGTACTAACCTTTTATTATCTTGAATTAAGACCCTAGTTGTTAAATTTTACAATGTATTTCAATTTAACCCAATTGTATATGGGTCAAAGGTTTTATGCAAACTTTAATTTACAAATGTGATTTTATGAACACCGAAAACATTAAATAGTGTCTACTTTATTAAATAAGAAAATTATGTAAATGAGTTCCATCATTATTCAGCAAAATATTGTATTTGCGTTAAAAAAAAAACTTAATTTGACTTATAAAAATATGAAATTTTTCAAACTTCATATTTGAAAGTTTAAAACACTTATGTTAGGAAGTGGACAAAACCTGTTTTAAAGGAAAGTGTGAAAGTATAAGGATTTAAAAAGGCAGTATTTTTGGGGCTGCACTGCGATTCCTAAATAGTGTTTTAATATGTCATCTAATAATTCTTGTTCAAAATATACCTGACAAGGTGTTTGATAAACGTGTGTGTGGTGTGTGTGTATGTATGTATGCATGTGTGTGTGTGTGTATATATATATATATATATATATATATATATATATATATATATATATATATATATAAACAAACTATTGTTAACCCAAATGACTGTTTAGTGGGTTTTCCTAATCAGGATAAAAAAAAAGTAACCATAAATAACATTCACATGGTTTGAATTTAAACATGTTTAGTTTGGGCATAAAGGAAACTGAGATTAAAATGTATTTTAAGTATCTTTCTGTCTCTGCTTTTAGAACGAGCTGGGAAAGCCGCTCCATCCGTCTTCAGCAACGTTCGCTCAGGATCAGAGACTGCCTTTAACAAACCCACCAAGAGGAAGTAACACTGTAGGACCATTCTGTTTTACTGGATCATACTGCTGAAACACGTGGTACAAATTAAGACTGTAGGAAAATAAAAAAATAAAAAAGTCTAAAAAAAATTGTTATTTAAATTCTATTCTTAATAACATGCATAATAATACAATATTAATGATAATAAAGTGAGTGGTCTTTTGTCAAAGTATGACCTAAAAAACGAACTAAATGTGCTTTAAATTATCTAATTTCCAATTAAAAGTTTCTGGTCAGACAGAAAATTATTCTGTTGGTTTAGTTGAAATGATGTTAAACATTTAATAAGACATTAAAAACTTGTCATGTATTAATATAAAAAAAACTTTTTGCCATTTTATTCACATTGCTATCTAAAAAGATTTATTTTCAAAACCAAACACAAAAAACAATGACAACAGAACTTTTTCTACCTAAGAATGACAAGAAAATGGGGTTTAAAACTAAAGATATCAGATATCAGTGCTGAGGTTATTTCATAAACTTGGTGTGCTGATCTTGTAGAATCTTTGCAGAAGACTTGGCATCATAGAAGAGTTCATTAATTTCTTCCACGTGTTCTTTTTCGACTACTTCCCTCCCCTGAACTCGTGCCAACAGACTGGCAGGGGTCAACAGCTGCACTGCATATCTGGATTTACAAAAAATAAGACACATTAGCCAAAATTAGATAAACAAACTGCAGAAATTATACACTCGCTAGACATTTTATTGGGTGCATTTGGTCATTTGAGTGACTTTGAAGATGATATGACTGCTGATGGCAGATAAACCGATCAGAGTACTTCAGAAAATGCTGATCTGTTGAAGTTTCACAAACTATCTCCAGGATTTGACCAAAAAAATGTCTTTTGATGCCAGACATCATAGGAAAATGACATAGTTCAAGATGATTACAGCAATTATTGTTACGCTAATGTTCTCACTCCCACCTTAGGGAGCACATTTACAACAGGCAGTACAACGCTTACGTGTTGCACTACTGAATCTCATTGCCTGACATCATATTGCCTGTAGTAAAGGCACGACCTGACAAGGAAGAGAGAACGTTGGTGAACCAAGGTTTTTTGGTGTACAAAACTGCCCTTGGAGCTTCAGATGATTACAGTTCAACCACCAAAGTAACATGGACTGTTTTGACAATGTTTTTGGTTCCTTTTCTGGACATCTCATGACCTCTGCTGTCTATGGAGGGTCAGAAAGCTCTCGGATTTAATCTAGAATAGCTTCACTTGAGTTATGAACAACAGTGTCAGGCGATTGGCTCAACGTGATTTTTGGATGAACTAATCCTTAAATGGTTCAGGCTGCAGTTACTATAATGGTGTCGGTGTTATTTCCTGGCACACTTTGGATGCGTTACTACCAATTGAACATCATTTAAACACCACAGCCTTCCTGATTATTGTTGCTGACCACGTCCATCTCTTAACAACACAGTGAACCCATCTTGAGTAGGCTACTTCCAGCTGGATAATGCAGCAAGTCACAAAGCTCAAATGATCTCAAACTGGTGTCTTGAACATGACATTCAACATTTAAATCTCATCCACAGCCACCAGATCTCAACACAAAAGGAAAGATCTGGAACAGGAGTTTCAAGTCACTGATGTGCAGCCTACAAATCTGCAGAAACTGTTGTGCCACCATTTTAATAAGAACCAAAATTTTTGAGGAATGATCCCAACAACTTCTATGCCAGGGAGAATTAATGTAGTTTTTAAGGCAAAATAGGGTCCAATCCAGTACTTTGGATTGTACCCAATAAAGTGTCTGGCGAGTGTTAATTCATATTAATATAAACCAGAGAATAAAAGAACTGATTATGAGTAATGAATATTACCTGAGGGTTGTCTTGGTACCGATCTCTCCAAGGTGAGATAATGCCTCTTCGCTGATGTTGAGGCCTTCTGTCTGTGCTCGGATCTTTATGATCTAGAAGATCAACATGCACATTAAACAACAGAATGTAATGTCTACCTTGTCTATTTATAATGTAAAAGCATCTTTGATTGAGAACTTGTTTTGTCAAATCTTTGATGTTCACCTGTTTCATTTCTTGAGGAGTGTACAGCATTGTTCTGATAATCATGACTCGGTCCAGTAGATCCAGTGGAATTCCGTGAGGAGAGCTGATGTCCTCTGTCCCCCTGAAACAGAGCCACACAGAAATATAAAGTCTAATAGCTGCTCATGGCAATACTAAAAATCTAATTCTTTTCCAGTAAGGGTTCATTCAAACAAAATCTCATAGTAGTTAGAAACAATCAAGTTACAGAATTAAATAATCTTCGAAGGATTGATTTATTTTCTTTATACTAATATTTTTAATAAACTTTTCAGATGATCAATGCATAATGAACATGCATAAGTATATTTGTAAAATAAAAAGTTCCAATTGTAAACATTTGTTAACAAACAATGAGCGATACACATTCCTGCCTTATTTACCAAAGTGGTTTGATTTTTCTGTTTTCAACAGAAATCGAGAGTATTGACATTTATTCTTCTTCTTTGGCCTTAGTCCCGTATGGTTGCGGGGTCGGCTCTTTGGAACAAGTCCTCCATTTAGACTTGTCCATATAATAACGACTTTTTTTTTTTTTTTTTACAAATTCCGGCCGGCCTGTCACCCTCATACACTACGGACAATTTAGCCTACCCAATTCACCTGCAGCATGTCTTTGGACTGTGGGGGAAACCTACGCGAACGCAGGGAGAAGATGCAATCTCCTCACAGAAATGCCAACTAAGCCAAGGTTCTAACCAGCGACCCAGCGACCTTCTTGCTGTGAGGTGACAGCACTACCTACTGCGCCACTGCGTCGCCAGTATAGACATTTATTATTAAATTTAAAGTCATTCTTCTGATTTTAAAAGTATAAAAAACATGTTTTTCCAAATAAAAAAAGTCGTCTTTATTGAAGATTACATTTATATTTTAAACACTTGATTGGGTTTTGATCCTATTTTAATAGTAATTCAGTCTTTGTTTGTTAATTTCAATAATTCCTAATACATTATTCAATCAAAACATTCTACCTAATAAAATAAATGGACCTGAGCTAATGTAAAATATAACTAGTCATTTATTAACCAAATATACATCAACCTAAAAACATTACTCTGTTCACCTTCAAGATCCCTATTGGATTAATGAATGTTGATAATTATTACCTACATAGAATAACACACTTTATCAAACACACACCTGATTAAGCAGTTTCCTCGATTGGATGCAAACACTACAATGGGGGCGATGGAGCTCTCCAGGGCTCGGTGCAGGTAGGTGAAACACTCAATGTCCAGCATGTGAACTTCATCAATAAACAAAACACCTGGAACCAGCTCTGCAACACCCTGATCAATGTACTTGTTCACAACCTTATTGATCTCCCCTCGCAGTTTATCTGCGTACACACAGAGACACAAAGACAGTTAAACACAGATCGATACAAAATCCTGTTAGGATAACCAGCTTCATTCATGTTACCTGTGATTTCTGTCTTTTTGGGTTTCATCAGTTGACCCATCATAGAAAGTATATCCTGGCCTCCCTGAAAGACACCAAATGATTAGATTTACGGAGATTCATTAGAAATAGCATAATGTTTGTGGGCTCATACCTGTGGTCTTGCATTAGCAACATCCAGGTCATGAAGTGTAACATCCTGAATAATCTCCTTCTTCTTATGTACGTCACCTTTGGGTAACGGTACATACTCTTCCGCCTCCAAATCAAACTCTGTTGCAAATGTGTCACATCGTCCCTGTCTCTGCAGACCAAGAAGATATTACAATAATCAATATATTGACTTAACGCCCCACACATGGACCTGACCTCAATCAATTTTGGTGATGCAGTGTTTATCGCCCATAATTATAAACCAATTCTAGCAACATTTTTGCTGATTGTGTGACATTTCTTACTCTAGTGTAGGTGTCAGAGACCTGACCTGGGCGTCACCTTCACCAAACTCCACTGCTGGACTCTTACAGATTTCTATTGTGATGCTATTATATTGTCATTCTGGCATTATATATATATATATATATATATATATATATATATATATATATATATATATATATATATATATATATATATATATATATATATGCAGGGTTCACACACATTTTTAATGCTAAAAATCCAGGACTTTTTCCAAAACTTTCAGGTAAATATTAAAGAGCTAATGTTTCAAGCAATGTCTAAGTACATGTGGTAAATCAGAAAAAATGTATGTCCAAATTTATTACAGCAAAATATTTGACCTTGATATTTGATCTATGTAGTTTGTTAATTTTATACCTGTAAAATAGTTTTTAGAAATTATCTTGTGTGAAAATTATTAGAAATGTTGGCTTGTGTCTTGACAAGACTTGTTGAATTAGAACAAAATAGCCTTTAGCACCCACATTATCTTACCTCTGTAGTTAGAGAAAGTAGCTGAAACTGCAAGTTGCTTTTTGCCCCACACAGAAAATGTCATGTGAAAGGATAAACATCGCGATTGTATTTGAAATTTACCCAATATCAACTCAAATATTCAAGTACACAGATATTTGTTCAACTAATTTTCGTGATTTGTCCAAATCATTTTGGGTTTTTTATTTTTCCAGGACTGGTAAATGTCTTGTCAAAATTCCATGACTTTCAGGTTTTGCAGGAGCGTATGAACCCTGTATATGGCATAAAATGGTCTTGAAATTACAATGATATTGTCTAATCGCAATGTATTTTGGTGCAATATATCGTACGACAAGAAAAATGGATATTGTGACAGGCTTAGTGCTGTGAGATTAATAATTATAATTAATACAATTAATATTATTACTATATTATGAGCCTATTGAAATGCATTTAATTGAGGAAACAAAAAATATATAATTTTTTATTATTATTATTTTGTTTTTATGACTTCAGTAGGATATAATAGTTATGATGCAGTAACATCACACAAGCAAAAATGACATTTTCCCAATTACCACACAAATGTTATATTAAAATTATACAATAGGTTAACAAACAAGGGGTTGCATTTACAGTTAGCTTTTAGTACTACCTGATTTGATTTGAACTACCAGG